GAGAAGATGTATGCTCCTAATTATCTGGGATTACCAATACTACCTCGTCATGAAGTGTTGAACTCACTTCGCTGCCCTCTCTGTCGTTCCCAAATGACAGACTTGGAGCACGATATCGAAGAGGGCAGCCTCGAGCCTATCGTAGAAGCCAATGATGAGGGGTCTGTTGTTGAGATGGCCGTCTCCGCTGTCGTCAGCACACCGGTGGCTCGTCTTCCTCCGACATTCTACACATCAACAGGGCGGGCAGCTGAGGTGTCTCGCATGCATCCATCACTATCTGTGATGCAGTTGTAGACGACCTATGGTCTCTACAATGCTATTTGTGCTGGCCTGAGGAACTACAGTGGTGATCCATGCAAGACAGGCTCTTGTATGGTTCGTCAATGTTAAGGCATTCTGTAAAACTGGTCTATGATGGCTGCGGCCTCGTTAATCTGACTGCTGTCCGTTCATAGCCTTTGGACCAAGCTTGTATGGCTTGGTCCACTCTCTACTGTACTAGTCTCTATATCGTCTATATATCATCTATACTGCTCTATTCACATCAATCTGTATCGTTTCAGTCTCTATACGAGGGCCTCAAGTGGCTCCACGTTGATCTCTTTATCCCACCAGCGTCATCAGTGAATACTTATTCACATTCTTATCTCCACTACAGACGGTAGCCGTCCTTGCTGGGTGGGCACGAATGAGTTCGACTTGGTCAACCGGAGAGGTCCTCTGATAACTTCATCTCGACTGCTTCCTCGTGGGACCAATGAAGCTTGGTCCCAACCCTTTGTGGTCACTTCAATATTAACACTATACTTGCTACGTTCGTGAATCTGTGAATTGCTTCCGAAACGTCGTTTTTGTTTTGTTTTGTTCTCATCGAATGGGGAGTTCTGTGGGTCTATTGGCATTCAACTCATCTAGACAGTTTTTTACTTGTCGTCGCATCTACTACTGCTTCATCGCATGCCAGATAGTCGTGGTGATAGTATTATAGATCTAGCACTTCCCGGGCTGTTCAAGTGGGTATGGCTGGGTGGCGTTATGGCGGTGGGGACGGCATTCATTCTACTGGCTGCACTCCACAGGACCTTCTCTGATCTCATGATCACTTTCGCGGTGGGTTTGGTATGGTTACTCACGCCTTTGGCTCTTGTTATCATTACCCTTGCTCGACGGTATGGATTGAAACAAGCCATTCGTTACCTCAATCTTGGATTGACAGGCGAGGAAGCTGATGCAGCCTTCGAGGCAGCATCGAGAGTGCCGACACCAGAGGACAAGCAATCGTTCCTGGCTACGGCTAAGAACGCGTCGATGGTCACGCTGGCGACCACGGCTGGTGCTGAGGACCTGTGCCCGATATGTCTAGATGAGGAGGATATGGGAGATCCATTGATAACGTTGAGGTGTGGTCATGTATTCCATGAGAAGTGTATCGATTCGGTCATCGATACAGCATACGAGAAGATGTATGCTCCTAATTATCTGGGATTACCAAAATTACCTCGTGATGAAGTGTTGAACTCACTTCGCTGCCCTCTCTGCCGTTCCCAAATGACAGACTTGGAGCACGATATCGAAGAGGGCAGTTCAGGGTCTGTTACAGCTTCGCCAGGTGAAACCGTTGGTGGTTATGAAAGCGCATCTGTTACATCTCCTACTGGGGGGCTGTTATCCAGAAGTGCCGGTGTCACTGACTTGTCTGGTCTTCAAGAGTTCAATATGTCTCATTCGCCGAATGCGGTGCCGACTTCTGCCTTCCCAGCTGTTATACAGTTGTGAGCGATTTTACCAGTCGGCACCCCTTTCTAGAGTGACCATCGAGAGCTAGCCTTCGATCGAGAACTTGTATTCGCACATACTATTCAGATATTCTATCAGTCCCTTTGAGACTATTCTTAGTGGTGAGTTGCTGGCTCATCCCTCAGTTGTCATCTGGGCAAGATCGAGTCGACTGTCCAACTCTATTCGCACAGGTCTGCTTGTCTAAGCTACACGTGGTTGAAGAACCCGTCACTGTATGGAAGATGCACGTTTCTACTCGATTGGTTCCAGAAACTTGATAGCATTCTTCTCCTATATAGTTTTCTCAGAATTATATATACGTCTATAG